TTTCAGATAAGGGTAAAGAAAACTAATTATAATCATAATTATGAGAAGGAGTCCACAAACCTTGCAAAGATCTGTGGAAAAGACCTTATGGATTTGCTGACTATTCTCATTGATGGCCAATATAAAAGTAAGGGTAAGGGTAAATCAACAAAATATGTTATTTCTTAAAAAGCACAAAAGTTAACTTCAGTTACATAAAAATATTCTATACTTTTATTCCTTCCCTTCTCACTCTTTATGGTATTGATGTCACGAGTTACATCTTTTATATTGTGTACCTGTTAACATTTTTATAGTTAAAGTTTTTTTATATTTGATTTTTGAACTTCTGTTACAGAATTTAAAGAGATTTACACATCATCATTATAAGACAACAGTATTCTTTATTTGTCTATGTATTTGCCTTCTCCAGTGAGCTTTATATTTTCATGTGCTTTCATGTTATAGTGTAGTTTATTTCAACTTGAAGGACTCCCTTTCGTGCTTTTTTTTTTTTTTTTTTTTGGAATGTAGGTTTAGTGATGTGAACTCCTTCAGCATTATTTATTTGGGAACATCTTTATTTCCCCTTGAATTCTAAAGAATAGTTTTGCCAGATATAATATCTTTGGTTGGCAGTTTTTTCTTCAAGCACTTCCCATATTTCACCCTATTTCTTTATGCCTGCAAGGTCTTATGGTTTTATGGGGTGCCTTTGTGCATGATGAGCCACTTTTTCCTGCTGCCTTAAAAATTCTCCCTTTGACTTTTGGCAATTTGATTATAATGTGTCTTAGTGTGGATTTTTTGTGTTCCCCCTCTTGGAAGTCTGTTGAGTTTCTTTGGTTTGAATGTCCATTAACTTCCCCAAATTTGGGAAGTTTTTGGACATAGTTTAAATAAACTTTTTACCCCTTTCTTCTTCTCCCTTCTCCTTCATGCTTGTATTGGTATTCTTGACCCTATCCCATAAGTCCCTTAGGCTTTTTCTTTTGTGTTTTGTTCCTCTGATGATAATATCAAATGATCTATCTTTGAGTTTACCAGTTTTTTCTTCCACTTGATCAAGTCTGCTTTTGAATAACCCTAAGTGAATTTTTCAGGTCTGTGATTGCACTCATCAGCTCCAGAATTTGTTTGCTTTTTTTTTTTTGAAATCTCTCTTGATTGTAATTTTTTAAATGCAGTGTTTTCTTGAGCTTTTAGAGCATCTCTGTGACAAGTTTTTTGAATTATTTTTCAAGCAATAAATATTTCTGTTTTTTTAGGATCAGTTTCTGGAGATTTATTTTGTTCCTTTGAGCCACATTTCTATTTCTTCGTGTGTCTTCTAGCTTTATGTTGAGACTCACATTTTTGAAGAATCAACCACATATCACAGTCTTCATAGACTGGCTGAGGAATACCCTCAGCAATCAGCCTAATTACAGATTCTGGTACCTCTGAATCTTTTTTCGAAGAGGTAACAGGTTCTCTGGATCTTTGTGGGCAAATTTTCATATGCAGAGCCTTGCCAGTTTTTTTCAAGAGCTTATAATCTTTTGTTCCCTCTGCTGTTTGTCTGTAGTACTGCAAGTCCTCTGTGTATAGCAGCAAGCTACCCACATCAGGTTCTGTGCTGTCAGCTCAGAGCCTGGATCCTGCTTTGGATTCTGTGTCTCCCTCCCTCTCTGCCCCTCGCCTGCTTGTGCTCTCTCTCTGTCTTTCAACTAATGAATAAATATTAAAAATTTTTAAATTTGCTTTTTGGATTTAGCCTTTAAAAATCAGTTATTTTTCTTGCTTACAAATTCAGATACTTCTTTTTTTTAACATGTATAAAATATTATTTGCAAGTAAGTGAAATAAGAACTATTTGTTTAAATCTTCTTTAAATAGTCACGTAAAGAGGCGCCTGGGTGGCTCAGTCGGTTCAGCGTCTGACTTGGGCTCAGGTCATGATCTCACGGTTCGTGGGTTCGAGCCCCGCGTTGGGCTCTGTGCCAACAGCTAGCTTAGAGCCTGTAGCCTGTTTCAGATTCTGTGTCTCCCTCTCTCTCTCTGACCTTCCTCTCTGAAATAAATAAATAAATAAATAATTTTTAAAAATTAAATAGTCACATAAAATGATTACATTAAGAAATCTCTCATATTGGAGTATTTTAATCCCAGTATATATTTTTCCAATCCCTTTTCTGGTCAACATAGATGAAGACTTCCATTGTTGTTCCTTAATCAGCTATACACACATAGTATGCTTTCTGTTTGTGAGGCAGTGGGTTGGGAATTCTGGATAATTAAAAGAAAAGAATAGTGGGGGCACTTGGGTGGCTCAGTCATGTAAGTATCCAACTTTTGATTTTGGCTCAGGTCATGATCTCATGGTTCATGAGACTGAGACCTGCATAGGGCTCTGTGCTGACAGTGCAGAGCCTGCTTGGGATTCTCCCTCTCCCTCTCTCTCCCACTGTCTTCCCCTTCCCCTCACCCACCCACCCCCAATAAATAAAGTTTAAAAAAATAACTATCAGGGTGCCTTAGTGGCTCAGGCGGTTAAGTGTCCCACTTCAGCTCAGGTCATGATCTTGTAGTCTGTGAGGTCTAAACTTGCATTGGGCTCTGCACTGACAGCTCAGAGCCTGGAGCCTGCTTCAGATTCTGTGTCTCCCATTTTCTCTGCCCCTCCCCTGCTCACCCTCTGTCTCTCTTTCTCTCAAAAAATAAATAAATGTTAAAAAAAATTTTTTTTAAATTTTTTTGGGGCACCTGGGTGGCTCAGTTGGTTACGCAACCAACTCTTGATTTTGGCTCAGGTCATAATCTCATAGTTGGTGGGATTGAGTCCTGCTGTCAGCACAGAACCTATTTGAGATCCTCTGTCTCCCTCTCTCTGCTCCTCCCCTGCTCATGCGCGCAGTCTCTCTCTCAAAATAGTATATGTGCTGCCGAAGCGAGCACTCTCTCAAAATAAATAAACTTAAAAAAACACTTTTTCTTAAAAAAATAGTGTCTAGTCTCTTTGTGTTTTTTAAAGTTTTTTTTATTTATTATTCTAGCATAATTTTTAAAATTTATTTTATAAGGACAGGGCATGAGCAGGGGAGAGAGATAGAGGGGGAGAGGAAGAGGGAGAGGGAGAAGTAGAGAGAGAGAGAGAGGAGAGAGTATCTTAAGTAGGCTCCACGCTCAGTGTGGAGCCGAGTGTGGGGCTGGATCCCATGACCCTGGGATCATGACCCAAACTGAAATCAAGAGTCAGATACTCAACTAACTGACTGAGCCACCCAGGCACCCTGTTACTTATTTATTATTCCAGTATAATTAACGTACAGTGTTATACTACTTTCATGTGTACAATATAGAGATTCAACAATTCTATGTGTTATTCAGTGCTCATCATGATAAATGTACTCTTCATCCCCTTTTACCTATTTTACCTATTCCCCCAGTTCTGGCAACCACCAGTTCTCTATATTTAAGAGCCTATTTTTGTTGTTGTTGTTGTTTGTCTTTTTTCCTGTGTTCATTTGTTTTGTTTCTTAGATTCCACATATGAATGAGATCATATGGTATTTATCTTTCTCTGACTTATTTCACATAGCATTATACTCCCTGTACCCTCTAGATCCATCTACATTGTTGCAAATGACAAGATTTTATTCTTTTGTATTGCTGAACAGTATTCCATCATATATAGATATCTTGTCTTCCCTATCCATTCATCTATTGATGAACACTTGGGTTGCTTCCATATTTTTCCTATTGCAAGTAATAGTTCAATAAACATAGGGGTGCCTCTATTGTTTTGAATTAGTTTTTCATTATCTTTGGATAAATACTTAATAGTGAAATTATTGGATCATAGGGTAATGCCGTTTTTAACTTTTTGAGGAACGTCCATACTGTTTTCCACAGTAACTGTACCAGTTTGCATTCCCAGCAGTACACAAGGGTTTCTTATTCTCCACACACTGCTTTTTGTGTTTTTTATTTTGACCATTCTGACAGGTACAAGGTGATATCTCATTGTGCTTTTGACTTCTGTCTCCCTGATGATTAATGATGTTGAGCATCTTTTCATGGGACTATTGGTTATCTGTATGTCTTCCTTGGAGAAATGTTCATATCTTCTGCCCATTTAAAAAAATTTTTTTATTTACGTTTATTTATTTTTGAGAGAGAGGGAGAGAGAGAGCAGGGGAGGTGGGGGTGGGAGAGAGAGAGAGAGAGACTGAATCTGAAGCAGGCTCTGAGCTGTCAACACAGAGCCTGACGCAGAGCTCAACCTCACGAACTGGAGATCATGACCTGAGCCAAAGTCAGACGCTTAACAGATTGAGCCACCCAGGCAGTCCCTCTTCTGCCCATTTTAATTAGATCACTTGGGGGGTTGTTTTGGTGTTGAGCTGTAGAAGTCCTTTATATGTTTTGGACACTAACCCCATAGCAGATGTATCATTTGCAAGTATTTTCTCCCATTCAGTAGATTGTCTTTTTGTTTTGTTGATTGTTTCCATTACTGTGCAGAAGCTTTTTATTTTGACAAATAAAACAACTAGTAGTTATTGGACTTTTTTGTTGTTGTTTTTGTTTGTTTGTTTTTATTGCCTTGCCTCAGAAAAGCATATAGAAAAATGTTTCTATAGCTAATGTCAAAGAAATTATTGCCTCTGTTCTTTTATTGCCTCTGTTCTTTTCTAGGATTTTTATGCTATCATGTCTCACATTTAAGTCTTTAATCTGTTTTGAGTTTATTCTTTATGTGTAATGTAAGTGCTTTAGTTTTATTCTTTTGCATGTCACTATCTAGTTTTCCCAATACCATTTGTTGAAGAGACTGTCTTTTCTTCCATTGCATATTCTTGCCTGTTTAGTTGTAAATTAATTGACCGTCTAATCATGGGTTTATTTCTGGGCTCTCGAATCTGTTCTGTTGATCTATGTGTCTCTTTTTGTACCAGTACCATGCTGTTTTGAGTACTACAGCTTTGTAGTTTATCTTGAAATCTGGGATTATACCTCCAATTTTGTTCTTCTTTTTCAATACTGCTTTGGCTATTTAGGGTGTTTTGTAGTTCCACACAGATTTTAGAACTATTTGTTCAAGTTCTGTGAAAAATACAGTTGGTATTTTGATACGGATTGCATTAAATCTGTAGATAATTTTGGATAGTATGGATGTTTTTATAATATTTGCTCTCCCCATCCATGAACATGGAATATCTTTCCGTTTGTTTCATCTTCAGTTTCTTTCATCTTTGTTTTATAGTTTGCAGAGCACAGGTCTTTCACCTCCTTGGTTAAGTTTATTCCTAGGTATTTTATTATTTTTGGTGCAGTGGTAAGTGGGATTGTCTTAATTTCTTTTTCTGCTACTGTATTATGAATAAATGCAACAGGTTTTTGTATATTGTATGAGAATATACTGTATGAGAATATTGAATGAGTATATTCTGTATGAAAATGCAACAGGTTTCTGTATATTGATTTTATATCTTGCAACCTTACTGAATTCATTTATCAGCTCTAGTGTTTTTTGATGGAATCTTCAGAGCTTTCTGTATGTTGTATATTGTCATCTGCGAATGAAAGTTTTATTTCTTCATTACTAGTTTGGATTCCTTTTATTCCTTTTATTTCTGTGATTGCTTTGGCTAGGATTTCTAGTAGTATATTTAATAAAAGTGGTGAGCATGGAATCCTTGTCTTGTTCCTCATCTTAGGGGAAAAGCTCTCAATTTTTTACTGTTAAGTATGATAGTAGCTATGGTTTTTTGTATATGGCCTTTATTATGTTGAGATATGTTCCCTCTAAGCATACTTTTTTGAGGATTTTTATCAGGAATTGGTGTTATACTTTGTCACATGCTTTTTTTTTTTTTTTTTTTTT